GAAAAATGCCTGATGGCACCGATGATCTCACGAAGTAAAGACACGATTTGACAAGATGCTCTCACGATGGCCTTACGAAGGGCAAAATGGACACACAAATTCAACACGAAAATGAACCTTCGCAAGGTCATTCGGCAATTTTTTGGTATGCCAAAGATTTTGCCACCGCTCACGAAGTTGCTGCCAGAGTCTGAGAAACTCCACCGGCGGTTATACGATGGCTTAAGATGCCCTCACGAATGGCCCGATGTTGTTACGATCAGAGCCGAATTTGAACATTTCCTTTATCGTGTGTCCATCTGGTGTCAATTTCGGGACAGTGTGATGCGGGCTTAAGCATTAACACAATATGACCAACTCTTATCATGGCTGCCAGGAAGATACTTTCCGGTTATTTAACAATAAAGAAACATCCTAAGCCTCAAAGATTGTTCTACCACAGCCTATGTCTTTCTTCTTTGGACTAGATTGCCACATCTAGATCTACCAAGGGGGCCCCCAAAGAAGGTCGATTAAAAAGGTCCACCGCAACGACAACATGAAACCCCCTTTAATTTACAGCAATGACATGTCGGGAAACAGTTTAGTTCTCCACTCCGCTCCGGGGGGGGTGGGGGTGTGGGGGGGTGCTGTCGGGTGTGCTTGATGTGTTGGGTGGCATGTATCTTCTGCCTGGGCCCCCAGAGTGTCTTGGGACGCCACTGCAGACGGCGACGAGACAGCGTACAGAGAGGAGTTCGAAACCCTGACATCTTAGCGCCAGGAGAACAACCTCCATCTCAACGTCAGCAAAACCAAGGAGCTGATTGTGGACTACAGGAAGCAGCAGAGAGAGGGACACGCCCCCATCACCATCAATGGGACTACGGTGGAGAGAGTCAGCAGCTTCAGGTTCCTCGCTGAGGACCTGACATGGACTCTTCACACCACCACCATCACCAAAAAAACTCGACAGCGGCTCTTCTTCCTCCACAGGCTGAGGAGGTTCAATATGGACTCCAGGATACTCTGCAACTTCTACAGGTGCACCATAGAGAGGATCCTGACCTTCTACAGGTGCACCATAGAGAGCATCCTGACCTTCTACAGGTGCACCATAGAGAGCATCCTGACCTTCTACAGGTGCACCATAGAGAGCATCCTGACCTTCTACAGGTGCACCATAGAGAGCATCCTGACCTTCTACAGGTGCACCATAGAGAGTATCCTGACCTTCTACAGGTGCACCATAGAGAGCATCCTGACCTTCTACAGGTGCACCATAGAGAGTATCCTGACCTTCTACAGGTGCACCATAGAGAGCATCCTGACCTTCTACAGGTGCACCATAGAGAGTATCCTGACCTTCTACAGGTGCACCATAGAGAGGATCCTGACCTTCTACAGGTGCACCATAGAGAGCATCCTGACCTTCTACAGGTGCACCATAGAGAGGATCCTGACCTTCTACAGGTGCACCATAGAGAGTATCCTGACCTTCTACAGGTGCACCATAGAGAGGATCCTGACCTTCTACAGGTGCACCATAGAGAGGATCCTGAACCCTCCACAGCAGGGGTGGGGAACCTTTTTCCTCTCAAGGGCCATTTCAATTTTTTCAACATCCTCCGAGGGCCGTACAAATTATTGACCTCTGCTTAAAAATACTAAAATCACAGCCCATTCATTTCACCTCTCTTTCATGCTGTGCATGCATGCATGTGCACCTTGTGGCATGACCACCTAAACAGAAAGATATGGACACAAGATGTGTGCAAATGTATTAATTTCCTATCCATGTGAACATGATTTAAGTGGGGGGGGACCTAACCTCCTCTAGGGTCCGGGGGCATACTCCCCGGGGAAGATTTTTTTTTAAATGTTGAAGTTAAAAGCATCAATCTGGTGCACTGTGAGAGCAACATTAGGAGATCTATGGATACATCTCTCAACACCCATATGAAACAGAACTGTAAGCAGATTTTATTTTTCTTTATGGATATTTTACAAATCACTCCCCTTTCAAACTGTGTTCTTGTTTTACTGTCATATAGTATTTTATACCTGTTTACTTTATTCTCTTATTTTTTGATAACTATAATGATCATATAAAGATGTGCCTTTACCTCACTGGTTGTAGAAAAAGCTTCTTATATTCGTTAGCATAGCTAGCTAACCAGATGCTAATAACAACAAAGTGATTGACTGTATGATCAGTATGACAGATGAACAGATCGCCACTGGGCTTTCAACTAAAGACACAGCCACGCAGAAACTGCGGCATGTGTACGGCTCCTTATGGGTACTGACAGTTCTGAAGTGCTGGAGCGGCGTTCTGGTGCTCTCCGTCAGAACTGCACCCCTGTCTGTCAGACGAGACATATACCACGTGATGACACATTAGGCTCGTGTTGTGTTCAAGGAACCTGAAAAACAGGCACTCGCTTGTTTAATTCTTTTGCGGTCCAGATTTCTTAAAAAAAAAAAAAAAATTACCTCGAGGGCCGTACCAAATGGTCTCGCGGTCCGTATACGACCGGAGGCCGGAGGTTCCCCACCCCTGCTCTACAGGTTCACCATAGAGAGGATCCTGACCTTCTACAGGTTCACTATAGAGAGCATCCTGACCTTCTACAGGTGCTCCATAGAGAGGATCCTGACCTTCTACAGGTGCACCATAGAGAGGATCCTGACCTTCTACAGGTGCACCATAGAGAGGATCCTGACCTTCTACAGGTGCACCATAGAGAGTATCCTGACCTTCTACAGGTGCACCATAGAGAGTATCCTGACCTTCTACAGGTGCACCATAGAGAGCATCCTGACCTTCTACAGGTGTACCATAGAGAGTGTCCTGACCTTCTACAGGTGCACCATAGAGAGTATCCTGACCTTCTACAGGTGCACCATAGAGAGTATCCTGACCTTCTACAGGTGTACCATAGAGAGTGTCCTGACCTTCTACAGGTGCACCATAGAGAGGATCCTGACCTTCTACAGGTGTACCATAGAGAGTATCCTGACCTTCTACAGGTGCACCATAGAGAGTATCCTGACCTTCTACAGGTGTACCATAGAGAGTGTCCTGACCTTCTACAGGTGCACCATAGAGAGCATCCTGACCTTCTACAGGTGCACCATAGAGAGGATCCTGACCTTCTACAGGTGCACCATAGAGAGGATCCTGACCTTCTACAGGTGCACCATAGAGAGCATCCTGACCTTCTACAGGTGTACCATAGAGAGTGTCCTGACTGGCTGCATCATGGCCTGGTACAGCAGCTGCACCGCCCTCAACCGTAAGACTTTACAGAGGGTGGTGGAAACTGCACAGCACATCACCAGGACGGAGCTGCCATCCATGGAGGACCTCTACTTCCAGCGGCTCAGGAAGAAAGCTCAGCCACAAACTGTTCTGTCTGCTGCCGTCTGGCAGGCGGTACAGCAGCATCCGGACTAAAACCACCAGACTCAGAGACAGTTTCATTCCACACTTTTGAAAGAACATCCATAACATTCATCTGGCTGCAACTTACAAATTATGTATCTAATATATCATATTCCAATCACTTGTATATAGACTCTTATTGCACTATTTCACTATTTTACTATTTTCTTTTTTTCTATTACTTGCACTACTTTTTCAGATTTTTCAGTTGTATTGTGTTGCACTGTTGGAGGAGCCTGTGACCTAAGATTTTCATCGACATCACTACACATGTACGTATGACAAATAAAAGCCTTGAACCTTGAACCTTGATCCTATGACTACACAACTCTAGAGAACCCCTCCCACCCCCTCCCTGCAGAGCTAGTGAAGATGAGGAGCACGTTCAGCCTCAGACTCATCCCTCCTCGACACAGCACCAAGCGCCTCGGACAGTCCTTTGTGCCTGTAGCCCTCAGGCTGCACAACAAGGGGTCAACTATGTGACACAAACTGGACATAAATACACACTGTTTCCACACATTCATGTAAATATATCTAATATGTATATATGACCCAATATGTATATATGCTCATTTTCATTTTCATTAATTTCTTACTTCATAGTTTATATGACCCAATATGTATATATGCTCATTTTAATTCATTTCTTATTTCATAGTTTTTCATCATTTAAATTGTTATCTTTGATTTGATCTTTAATGGTGTTAACCTGAGTGAATCTGTGCTGTCCTGTTTTTCATTCTCACCCTGTTTCTGTTTGAACTACTGAATTTCCCCACGGGGATTAATAAAGGTCCATCTTATCTTATCTTATCTTATCTTATCTATAGAAACAAAGCCTTCCAACAATAACTCACTCCCCCCCCCCCCCGCAATGTAACACTTCCATTTCTGCCCCCTGTTTCATGTCTTTATGTCTTGTCCTTATATGTTTCTTGTTAAGCGACCTTGGGTTAATGAAAGGCGCTATATAAATTAAAGTTATTATTATTATTATTATAGGAAGTCAGTGCTGGAACAATCCATTCTATCTTCACCCATCACTGTGGTCCACACAAAAACGAATGGAAGTAGCCTCAGCCCCCAAATGGATAGAAAGGGTCATTCCAATTCAACGAGCCTGTGCATGCACATTGTCAGTGCATGAATCTGTGAAGATGAAGACAATATCTCCATTCAGGCAATCTGTGTGAAATACAACCACGGTGAAATGGTTGGATTTGCCCTATTTCAAACTGCCACCCAAATAATAAACAAATGTAGAGGTAGAACAAATCAAATGAACACAAATATGGAGGAAAAAGCACAAACTTTTGCATGTTTGTTCGACTGCTTAAAGCATATTCATCATGTTTATGACTTACACATATCTTTCATATTTGGTCTTCACTTCTTCCTGCAAACTGTAAAATGGTAAGCACAGATAAAACCTTAAGGCTAGCATGCTAAAATTGACAGAGCTAACATTGTTAGCTTAGTAAGTTTTGTTTTTCAGGGGATCCAAAACTTTGCATTGACTGTAAGGAATGTTTTGAAGTCTTACACAGAGAATAGAATAGAAGAATCTGACCTATTACAGCATCCTGGTTGGAGCTCTTCACTGTGGATCCATTTTCATTATCCGCTCTGATGTTCATCACCTGCATCTTGAATTTGTAGGAGGAAAGACAAGAAGTTACAGACATGTTCATTCATACTTCTACAAGTAAAGTATCATTGATTGTTTCTCAGTTTGAATGCCAACCCAGATCGGCGACACATCAATTGTTTGTCAGTTTCCCTCATTTGATTGGCACTGTACATGCTCTAAATGTATTACTCAATTGTTAGTGGTCCTCTTTGGATGCATTTATATACAGTCTTACAGGTTTTGAACTTGTAAAAGTCATCACATACATACACAGACTACAGCATATAAGCTGATGGTTGACTTGTTAACACTCCTTGTTGTTAACCACCAACTATGTGCAATATGTGCAATATGTGCAATATATATATATGCCGTTAATAACTGTGCGATATATACCTGGCTGCTAAATCCTCAGAACTGTTACAGGATGTGTTTTTTGTAAATTGTGTAACTTTTTTTATTATAATTGTTTTAAATCTTTAATATTTTGTTTTATGCATGCTACTTAGGTAACATTAAGCTGTCTTTGGTTTTGTTCTGCTGTAACAATGTACATTTCCCCTCTGTGGGACTAATAAAGGGATTCTGATTCTGATTCTGATTGTTGATATTCTCTTTGGATAAAAAAATGGGCGCTAATGGTTACACAATCAACACAGTGATTTTTGAAATAAGGTTTGGTAAAGCTTTTGAAATAAGGTTTGGTAAAGCTTTTGAAATAAGGTTTGGTAAAGCTTTTGAAATAAGGTTTGGTAAAGCTTTTGAAATAAGGTTTGGTAACTAAATCCCAAAATGATGAAACTGTGTGTAACACAATTTGAGGGACAGGTGGTGGAATTAGCCTGAAGTGCATCTCAGTTGTTAAGACAGTCGTGTAGTGTTTGTCTGTTTTCATTTGATTCCACTCTATTTCTTTCCTTTCAGTTTTGGGAAAAGTGCATTTCCAAAATAATATATTCCTTTTCTCTGGGTATGTTTTAGTTGTTGATGCTTCTTTCTGGTGTAATTGCAGTAATGTCATATTACTGTAACAAACATGCTTTACATAAAACAGGGTTTGTATACATCTTTATATGAATACATTTTGTGATTGAAAACTAAAAGCGGCCGCATACCAATAAAATAACTTCCCATTTGTATTAGGTAAGGATTTGATTTACCTTCGGGTCCCCAATGAAGTCAGTGTGTCCTTGTATCTCACTCAGGGACATTCCTGGGCAGGGCATTGAGATGCATGCCCGAACTGCATCATGAGACTCTCTTATCCCCACAGAGCTGAAAGAAAACGCTTTGTTAACAGATCGCTACAGAGGTCCTCTGAATCAACAGCTGAAAAGTGACCCTACATCTCTATAAACCTCTGTATTAAATGTATCTCAACTGGTCCCTGGGCTATGGAGACTGACAGAGTCAAAGAGCACTTGATAAAAATGACAGAAGGCATCAGAGACAATAGATGACTTAGTTATAAATGAGCTATGAAGACGTCTGCTGAAACACAAAATGAAGGTCTAATGTTAAGTTAAAAATGTAAATGACAATAAAGATTTCAAAGAGTTATTGTACAGGTATTGTGTTAAGTACAACATAGTCAAAAGATGGCATCATTACCGATTTAATGAATTTCTTACCACTCTTTTCCATCACTTTTTCTTCTGTCTTTCTTTTTGTCAGACTTTGACTGCTTTCCTCCCAGAAGTGATGTAATCTTTTGCTCCCTCTTTTCCTCTTTTACTTTTGGTGGATCAGTCTTTTTACAGCTTGGAGCAGGAAGCTTACTCTTACGAAAACCAAACCAATTTGCCAAGGTTGAGCCAGATTTTTGCTTCACTTCAGTGGTTCTCTCCTGCTCATGAGTCTTGTGCAAGTTCTCTTCTATGCCCAGCATCACTTTTTCTTCGATTGTGGTTATAGTACTCTGCCCCTCTGGTTCTTCAGAAACTGGCTCGCCAAAGGCGCTCGAAAACTGTTGCTCAATCTGAAGGCGTCTAGCTTGCTCTCGTTGGTGTTTAAGACTCTGAAGTCTTTCAGTAGAGGAGCCCAAATGTGAAGGGGCTGTCAGTCCCTCTTCAATCAAGAAATTGTTTAAAAGAGATCTGTTCATTGGACAATGGTAGCTGCTGGAGCAGCTCATACTTCCTGGAAGGACATCACTTAGAGAGTTCAAGGAGCTCCCTGAGTGTGTTTTGATCTGGGTACGGACCTTTCCAGATCTGTTGAAACTTGGCCTGTCCATGTAGCGTGCACCAAAGCTCTGGCTACGAGCCTTAGCCCCATTCATGCCCATTACTGGCTTAAGGGGAGGTCTGGTTGACACAGACACAGACCGTTTAAACAGCCAACCTTCCTCATCAAATCCCCAATCTAACATCACACCGCTGTCTGAGGCAACAGGTTGAACTGGGGGTTCAGAATCCAGCGAGTTACAGCGGGTCTCAATCTTCCGCCGGACTTTATCATGAGCTCCACATTCATGTTTCATCTGGGGATCACATGTAAAAGTCTGAAAGGTATGGATACTTTTTGCAGTAGAGTTAATGTCATCTTTGTTATGTCTTCCAAAAGCTAGGAAGGTACCAGTTTCCTGTCCAGCAATAGTCTCATGAGATCTAGCATTAGCAGGAAGAGCCATTTTGACAGCATTGGAGTTGGAACCTTGATGATTATTGGCAACCCCATGGTAGTAAACATTAGAATATGCCTGAGGCAGGAATTCTGAAAGTTTTGGCTCACTAATGCTCTGTTGGGATCTCTGTAAGATGCTTTGAGTTGGAAATATATTGGGAGCACCATGTTCAATATGGCATATGGCAGTTCTGTCCATAGAGAGCTGGACTAACTCTGAAGACTCTCGAGCTGGGACAGGGGGCATCTTGGATGAGTTGGTAGGGTAAACTTTGGCAGGAATATCCTTCGTTGACTTACCGTCAGTGCCCAATAGTGGGGCTGCATGTTGATTGTCCTTTGTAGTGTTGGATAGTTGCAGCTGTGAAATTGAAGAAATATTTGATTGTTGCTTCGTGACGTTGGATGTTGTCTTTCCAGTTGTAGAGCTTTGAGGCTGACCTGCAGATGTTGCTTTAAGTAAGCTGTCACTACTTGGCCTAAGGACTAGAGAAGTTGTTCGACCTGGGGGTGGCGGTGGGGATGGGGACCTAATTTCTGAACGGGTACTATCACAGTGCTGGTCTTTGCGTCGCTGTTTTCGTGGAGAGCAAGGTAAGTTGTCATAAATGCTCTCTTCCACAGGCTCATTGTTTGATTGAAGTCTATTGATTTGCAAAGGTGATTTATTTGGGCTCTTTGAACATTCACTGTTCCCTGGTGGCTTAAATGCCTTTGAATGTTTCACAGGGGAAGCAAGCGGAGAGCGCACACTCTTTATAGACTTGGAATTTGCTGATACCGCAACTTCCTCCTCTTTCTCATCTTGACATAGGGATCCCTTGCTCGAAGAATTTGTATTGCTGAGATCTGTCCTTTTGCTAGGAACACTGTGTCCAGGAGGGTTTGATTGTCCTTTGGACCTGTGGCCCTTAATAAGCTTCTGGTGGAGAGGTGAATGTGTTTGCTTAGTTTGTTCTTTCCCTCCATCCGCACTCTTGCTCCGCAGAATAAAAGCCTTTCTTGCGGAGTCACAAAGCTGAGGTTTGGGTTTCCTCTGTGAAGATTCTGAGATTGTGTGGTTCTGGTTTTCACAGCCAGCTTGACTTGCCTTGTCTCTGCAGTGAGGAACCTCCATAGAGGAGCTACGCTGTCTGGCTACGTTCACACAGCTCAGAGCTTTAGTTGCAGAATGCTGAATAGAAGAGCTCACTTCATTGTTCCCAGCTTCAACTTGTGTAAGTGCAAGTCTACCCTGTTGTTTTTTGACATGATCAAGTCTGGATTTACGGTCAGTAGATCTTTCCTGGTTATTGTTTTTGTCACTTAACTTCATGCCTGAAGGTTTTTGTTTTTCTATTGAGTCTTTGTTTTTTTCTTCCAAATGCGTGAGGATAGTGGTTGGGCTTATGCCAGGTTTTACTGTGGGGTCGTCCAAAAATAAGAAGTTGTCTGTGACAGGGGAAGGAAAATGACCAGAATCCCCTGCAAGTTTTACAGGTTCTTCTTGGAAATTGTTGTCATTATCTCTTGCTACATCCAGTTTATCCAAGAAAACAAGCTCTCTTGTTGGTTGGTCATGGGATTCACTACTTTGTAATTTAGTTGAGTCATCATCTGCATCATCAGAGTCGAGGGCAGCAGTCCCTGCTCCAGCCTTCAAAGGTTGATTTGTAGGGGCTACCTGCTTGGCAGTACTCCCTTGTTGGCCACACTTGAAACCGAATGAGTATATGCCCTCGTTGGAGGTCATGCAGTCTTTGCAGTGCTGCACAGCTGCAGCTGAGGATGCCTCTTTGGAGCTGCACATCTGGAGACGCTTTAGGCCTTTCAGAATGTGGCCTTCCTTCCATCCCAGGTCTGTCTGCTCGATGGGTGCAGAGTGATTACTTGAGACTGAACCCGTGCTCATCCTTTTGTCCCGGCTTGTGGCACACTGCAATACAAGACATATTTTAAATAATTAATATGGCATTTACAGATGGTTCGTTGTTTTTATTAAATTGCCATAAAGACATAACAACGATTTTACTTTCACAAACAGCTTATAATTGAACTCAAAAGAAGAGGAATTGGAGATGATTGACACCTACCTGTTTGGAGAATCCCCGCCCCTCCGCCCAGGTGTGGGAGCCACTGGAGTATTCACTACAAGCACTGGACAGAGACAGCTCACTGCCACTGCTGCCGCTGCTGCGCGGGCAGGTGAGACTCAGCAGGCTGGGCCACCGCCCTGCAGGAACACCCGCTTTTCCATTCCTTTGGACCTCCTGGAAAATAAATAATGATATAATGAATCAACAGACATGAAAGAAAAACTATAGAGAAATAGATGAAGAAGCAAAAACCTCAGGCTATACAAAATGTAATGTCTTTGTTGCAGGCTAATAAAAGACTGATTTATAGAATATACAACTTGATTGATCAGTACTGACAAAAAATATGATTATGGCTCACATTCGTACCAGTGAATTCAATGTTTGTTCATCCACCCAATTCCTGACATTATATTTTATAGATTGTCTTTGCAGTCCGAGTGATATACACATTACTCTTCTTCCTGTATTTCATTGTGCAACACTGTTGATATCAATTCACAATGACAATAATTGAACCTTGAACCAAAGAGAGTCCTATACAGAGACAAACGGAGAGCCCTCCGTGTGTCTCTGTCAGACATCTCAAAAAGTCCATATCCTGGATACATGTCTCTTTACAACCTAAGGCCACTTGTCAGATGGCTTCTATTGTAAAATAATGTGTTTTCATGTTTCTCTGGTTTTGCAGGTGTTCCATGATAACTTATCAGGAGCCAGTCCATGAGACATTTTAAACTGCTGGTTCTCTTCTTACATGACTCACTTAGCGTGAGACTTCTTGGTGTGTCTGCTGTTGATTCATATTTCAAACATAACTGCAAAACGTGTTAGGGTTGAAAACTTGATGAGCGTAATGCTTTAGAGTTGGTCTACCAACTCAAAATAAGCATTTACATATTGTTACTGATTCTTTATATCATCTATCATCGGCTAGAGTCTTTTAGATATATCTTCCAAAGCATTTGTGCCTGTCCATCAGAAATGACGGAGGAGAGAATAGCACACTGTTAGCTTCCTCATTGAATAGTCTTTATAAGAAGCATTCAGAAGTATAACTTATAGAACCTTAATGAAACTAGATATCACAGACTATTGTCTCCAAAAAGGTCTTCAGCTGATGTGAGATACTGTTTCCAAAGAGACATTATGACAGAGTATGATTTGAAAGTGTTGGGAAAATACTGAAGGTACTCTTCCAATATGAGAGTACACATGATAACAAAGGCCATACATAGCTGTGTACATGACAGGATGTATGATTACCTAGAAGAGCATCAGGACTGTTTTAGGCATATGATAGCTATGTGATTAACATGATGATTCAGCCTCTATGGAGATAGACATATGACAAGCATGATCATTTCTGATGTGGAGCTAATCTGAAGTAAACATTGAATACTGCTTTATATTCCTCCATCTTGTGACTGTGTAACTCCCTCTCTTGTATATCAGCATGTGAAGGACACTGTTCAGGAACTAGTTGATGCTCTGTATGTGATGACTACTTCCATTCTGGAGAGGATCACAAATACATGGATCCTGTTATTGAAGCTCAAGCTGGTGACGAGTGATATTTTTCTAACATTTCAAAGGTTGAAAGCCTTAAATATTTTATACATTTATAATTAAATTGTATTTTCATTAAGACTGCTTTGTTGAATCTGAAGCATGGTGATCAAGCTGCCATCAAAGGTTATTTATTGATGGGTTCATTGTTTTCTGTACTAGTTTTAAGGCGGTATCTACTGCAAAGGAAATAAAAAGGTTGGACTTAATTATTAGAACCAACCATAGATGCACAACTCCCAACAGCCTACAGCCTCTTCAGCTCTTTGATTGGGTTATCCATAAACTGCATTACAAAGCCACAGTGTCTCTGCTTTATCGGTCCTGATGAGCTGAGTGTGCAGTATCCAACAAGTCCTCCAACTCATACGACCAAATAGGTCGATTGTTCAGCAGCTTATTACGACCTATAGTCATGTTTGAAAGTTTAGCACCTCTAGTGGTCGTGTAAGAAACAACAATTTGTGGCAATTGCAAACGCTCCGGAGGGTCGTTTATTCACAAATAACCCTCTCTGGAAAATCCTAAATTGTAGGATAGTTTGGCCATTAAAATGCTTTTTGATTAGATTTCTAGCGAGAAGTGTATATTGTACTTTTAGAATCCATGTCCAGTGGACGTGTAGGATCTATAGTTTGATAGATATTACGAAGATTATTTGAGGTCTCGCCAGGAGAACGTGTATGTCTTTCCCCCTATGTAAAGTTAGCGTCAACCCTCACGGGGTGAAAACAGTATTTCCGGTCTCGAAGTTTTCATAATAAAACCGTATTCCCCTCACTGTCAAATGATTTCACAGTGATATCTGCCGTACTCATCCACTAAAACACATCAGTTTATTTATTAATTACACAACATTAATTGGTTTAAATTGTGTACACTGCTTTTGTGTTTTTCCCATAGATTTTTCCCTTTCGATTCTGAGAGACACATTTCTTTTTTCAGAGGTTTTGATAGGCTAAAACATCGAACTACCCATAATCCTCAGCTATCGTTGAAGCTTGGTGATTGGATGTTTGGGATATGGTGTTTATGCGATGTGAAATCCGAAAACATTTAACAAAAGAAAATACATTATTCCGAGTGTGCTTGCTTTTCTCTTTGAAAGTCATCACATAACGGCATTGTAATACACGGTTCGGCTGCATTAAATATTACACATCTGCCGTAGTTCTTTATTTATAGAGCCCTGATGACAAGACTTCTGGACAAACTGGAAGAAATGCCGCCGAAACTGAATATGTGACGTGGATCTTAAATATATCAGCAATTAAACAACATCTTACATTTCTTTTCACACAATACGTCTCCTTGCAGTATCAATACTAATTCGGCTGACTTTTATATTTGATCCAATTGGTAGATAGGTTATATTTACACCATAACGGTGCAAAGCTTATAGAAAAGGATTTGTCGTTTTTAAAGATATTTCTGATTTTCTTTGAATATAAGAATGTAAATACTGAGTTGAGAGAATAGTCAGGGGTTTTGGGTGATGGGAGACACATATATGGAATCACAATTTCAATAGCTTACTATTAAAGGACGGATATACCTCATATATTAATGTGTAGAACTACAATATGTGAAATAATATAGCAATATCCTGTACAATTATGTGAAAACATGAATAAAACTATACATCTTCAGATGTTACACATACATAAGTGTCCTACGCTAATAATACAAAGTTATTATGGCATTGTATGCTGTGTGTTATTTGTAACATCTTCATAAAGTATAATTTATTGTGTTAACACTGTAAACTTGACAGTTTTTTAACCCCTAGTGGTTAAAGCATTTTTTTATTGAATATGTTATATTTGATGAAAATATTTAAATATTAAGAGTAGCCTACATACAAAATAAGGGGAAAGTAGAAGGTCAATAATAGAAATATAGAATAGAAAATACCAAGAAGATACTGTAGTGATCTCTACAATAAAACAGCTAGTGCAGGACGTCCAAATATATTAATAGGAGGATGTGCAAAACAGACAAACTAATAAGGCTTTATTTAAACATTAAAGAATACTTTAAGTTAAGGTCTTCTTTTGAATAAGAAAAAAACTTTGGGGGTATCTACAGATAAATATTAAGCCTGACAAAGTACTTAACGTCTAATATATTGCATAGTTTATTTTGGCACTTGACAATCACCTTCCCTGAATTTTACTCAGGTGTAACCAGTGGCGGAGCTGGGGGGTGGCTGGGGGTGGCCACCCCCAGCTGAATCCTGGCCACCCTATTGGCCACCCTATTGGCCACCCTATTGGCCACGCCCAAACAATTTTAGAACATTAAGAAAAAAAAATTTAAGTAACCTTTCATCATTCATCAAGAATTAACATTAATAGGACGTTATATCGATAATGTACTCACTAAACTTACAATTCATTTAACTTATTTTCTTCCTAAAGTTAATTATCCAAAGCCTGCCGTAGTTAACTCTATTTATAAAGCCCTGATGACAAGACTTCTAGACAAACAGGAACTGCCGCCAAAACTGAAAACTTGACGTGGATCTTAAATATATAAGCAATTAAACAACATCTTACATTTCTTTTCACACAATACGTCTCCTTGCAGTATCAACACTAATTCGGCTGACTTTTATATTTGATCCAATTGGTAGATAGGCTGTATTTACGCCATAACGGTGCACAGCTGATAGAAAGGGACACCTACTGGTTAAAGTACGTTATTGCATTTTATAATTTTATAATGCAAGCAGCGTTGAGCGGGTCTTCGACGCTCCGCAGGCTGTTGTCCGCACGTCGACGTGTGTGTCTAGTGGCGCGTTTCCACTACACGGCCTCGCTCGGCCCCGCTCGGTATGGCTGGGCCTCGTTAGGACTGGCTCACTTTATGGCGCATTTCCATTACAGTTTAGGAACTGGGGTAGTATCTATAGTAACGCAGTGTAGGCGGAGCCGTGACGTGATCTTCAGAGAACGCCAGAAAAACAACACAGCCGTTAGCTGTTAGCACTCAGAGCTCACAGCTCCTCATATATGTTCAGAAACTAGACAAAAGTTAAACAAGTACAAACCACAGACTGCCTGTGTCATGGTGAATACAGTCGCTGCTTTATTTATGTCTGTATAGGCCGTTGTTGTGAGTGTGGACGGTCGGAGCATATACTGCGTTAGCTTAGCCAATCTCCATTTAGAAAACACGCATTTTAAAAGGTTTTTCGCCTGCCGTCTGTCTGCAGACTTGACAAAGCATTAATTCATGGTTTTTACTAACCGGTATCAGTATGTTGTTACTTCGGCATCATTTTGAAACGTGTATTCCAATTAAATCACGGTCAAATATGTCCATCTTGTTGTAGTTGTAGCCCCCTTGCCAGCGATGCTCTCTCTAGTTTAGCATACTCAGCCCGACTCAGCCTCGTTGTCTCTGGCCCTAGACCCGCGATTTTATGAGGCCAGAAAAACTGTGAATTAGGACCCGCCGGCCGGTACTAGGCCAAGTGGAAACGCAACCAAAGACGGGCCGCTGACGTCACAGCCCTCTTAAACCGTGCTCCGCGCTGTAGTGGAAACGCGCCATAGGTGTCTCGAGGACTCGGCCGTTGGCAAACGTGGGAAGTTTCAGGC